ATATATTATACTATACTATATAACATTTAATATATATCGGTTGAAGAGTTAGCAGCTGAACATTATCAGCGGTCTGCGATGTGTTTTAAATGCGGTAGAAATCATCTATGGGTTGACTGTCAAGCAGGTATGTATACTATATATAAGATGTATATATAGTATAGTATAGTATATATATAAGTAATAAGCTATATATACATCTTATATACTATATATAAGATGTATATATAGTATAGTATAGTATAGTATATATTATACTATACTATATAACATTTAATTTATATATATACTATACTATACTATACTATATATACATCTTATATATAGTATATAAGATGTATATATAGCTTATTACTTATATATATACTATACTATACTATATATATACATCTTATATATAGTATATAAGATGTATATATAGCTTATTACTTATATATATATTAAATATTGAATATTAAAATTTAGGTCACAATTCTATAATAAAATTTACAAAGCATTGTCTTAGATATTTTTTTTAACATCCTTTTGTCTCTAATATCTATTTAATTTTTTTTTTTTATAAAAAATATGTTGGGCCCACTTAGCCCGGGACCAAACGGTCCCGGTCCCGGACCGATCCCTACAAAAAGCCCATTTAGGCCCGGGCCTGTTTAATTTGGGACCGGCCCGGGACCGTTTGGACCGGCCCACTTGGCCCATTTAGGTCCGGGCCCGTTTAATTTGGGATCGGCCCGGGACCATTTGGACGGGCCCAGTTGGCCCGTTTAGGCCCGGGACCGGCCCACTTGCCAGCCCTACCTGCAAGCGTTAATCCAATACGTAATATATTTAAAGAAAAGTAATGAAAGGGGCCGTACCTTAGCAGTAGAATCATTTTAGGTGGGTTATATTCCAGTTGTTCGGTAGCCGCTCACCGTTCACCATTTCGAGTTTGTACGATCTTTTGCCAGTGATCTTGATAATTCGATATGGACCTTCCCAATTCGGTCCCAGCTTCCCTTCATTCGGGTTCCGGGTGTTCAGTGTCACATTTCTTAACATCAAGTCCCCGACATTGAAGTGTCGAAGGTTGGCTCTCCGATTGTAATATCTTTTGATCCGTTATTTTTGGACGACCAACCGGACGAGGGCGACCTCGCGCCTTTCGTCTAATAGTTCCAGGTTCGTACTCATGGCCTCGTTGTTTGACTCTTCGGTCGCATATTAGAACCTAAGACTCGGTTCTCCTACTTCGATCGGTATAAGTGTTTCGGCACCATAGATCAACGAGAACGGGGTGGCCATGATAGTGGATTTTAAGGTCGTACAATATGCCCATAGGACTTCGGGCAAGATTTTCTTCCATTTCCCTTTGGCGTCGGTCAACCTCTTTTTGAGGTTTTGGAGTATGATTTTGTTCGTGGACTCTGCTTGCCCATTTCCACAAGGGTGATAGGGCGTTGATATGATCCTTTTGATCTTATGGTCCTTGAAAAACTTGCTCACTTTGCTGCCGATGAACTACTTCCCATTGTCGCATATGATCTCAGCCGGCATTCCGAATCGGCATATTATGTGGTCCCATATGAAATCAATAACCTCCTTCTCCCTGACTTTATCAAATACCTGGTCCTCCACCCACTTAAAAATAATAATCAGTCATAAATAAGATAAATTAAGCCTTACCGTGCACCCAGAGCAGGGGACCAATGATGTCCATTCCCCATTTCAAGAATGGCCAGGGTGACAAGACCAAATGCAGCGGTTCCTCAGGCTAATTGATAATCGGAGGATGCCTCTGACATTCGTCACATTTTTGCACGAACTCCTTTGCGTCTTTTTCCATGTGATGCAGTAGTAGCCGAATCTGATTATCTTTCGAACTAATGACTCAGTGCCTGAATGGTTCTCGCAGGTGCCCTCGTAGGTACCGTCTTCGGACAAGCTGAATCGGGCCGCCTTCGTATGCAGAGCTCTCAATTCTTTAAGATTCGAGGGACATTTTTCGGTCGTTAGGTAATCTATGTATCTATTTCTCCAGTCCCAGGTTAAGCTTGTCGAGTTTATCTCGGCATGTCCTTATTCCACTACCAATTTCATGAGTTGTACGACCATTCCCGAGTTGAATTCGTCGTCGTCGACTGACGATCCCAAGTTAGCAAGAGCATCGGCCTCGCTGTTTTGATCCTGAGGTACATGTTGTATAGTCCATTCCCTGAACCTATGTAACGTTTCCTATAGCTTATCCAGGTATCTTCGCATTCGTTCCTGTTTGACTTCGAACGTTTCATTGACTTGGTTCACCACGAGGAGGGAATCGCACTTAGCTTCGACCACCTCGGTCCCCAAGATTTTAGCCAGCTCAAGACCTGCAATCATGGCCTCATATTCGGCCTCGTTATTAGTCAATTTTACAGTTCTAATAGATTTTCTAAAAACATTACCCATCGGTGGATTCAACACGATGCCAAGCTCGAACCCCTTTGCATTCGAGGCACCGTCCATAAAGAGGGTCCAGATTCCGGAAGAGGTCCCCGAGTTCAACAACAACTCCTTCTCGACCTCAAGTCAGCTTCAAAGTCCGCTAAAATTTGAGATTTGATGGCGGTTCGGGGTCAATATTCGATATCGTACCCGCTGATCTCCACGACCCATTTGGCCAATCGTCTTGAGTGCTCAGGCTTGTGCATTATGTTTCTTAATGGGTAAGTAGTCACAACACATATGAGTTGACATTGAAAATACGATTTTAGCTTCCTAGAGGCGCTTAGCAAAGCGAGTGCCAATTTTTCTAGGTGAGGATACCTAGTTTCGGCCTCGCCTAGAGTTCTGCTAACATAGTAGATAGGAATTTGCGTACCTTCCTTTTCCCGGACCAGAACTCCACTTACCGCTACCTCGGATACTGCTAAGTACAAGTACAACTGTTCGTCTGCCTTTGGGGTATGAAGCAACGGTGGGCTCGAGAGGTACTGCCTGAGTTCCTCCAAGGCTTGTTGGCACTCCGGGGTCCATGAGAAGTTATTTTTCTTCTTTAACAGTGAGAAGAACCGATGGCTCTTGTCGGAGGACCTCGAGAAGAATCGACCCAAAATGGCTATGTGCTCGGTTAACCTTTGAACGACCTTGACATTATCCACGACGGTGATGTCCCCGATGGCCTTGATTTTATCGGGATTAATCTCGATTCCCCGGTTGGACACCATGAATCCAAGGAATTTTCCGGACCCGACTCCGAATGCTCATTTCTCCGGGTTCAGCTTCATATTGTATTTCTTCAATATGCTAAAGGTTTCTTACAAATATTTCAAATGGTCCTCTGCTTGCAGGGACTTAACCAACATATCGTCAATGTAAGCCTCCATTGATTTTCCTATTTGCTCTTCGAATATCCAATTTACTAGGCGTTGGTAAGTGGCACCGACGTTTTTTAGTCCAAATGTAATTACATTATAACAGTAGGTACCGTATTTAGTGATGAAGGATGTTTTTTCCTGGTCGTCCGGGTCCATCCAAATTTGGTTGTACCCAGAGTAGGCGTCGAGAAAACTGAGGATCTCGTGGCCGGCCGTTGCATCGATCATGAGATCAATGTTTGGCAGAGGGAAAGAATCCTTGGGGCATGCCTTGTATAAGTCTTTATAGTATACACACATTCTTAATTTATTTCCCTTTTTAGGGACTACTATTACGTTTGCTAACTAATCCGGGTACTTAACCTCCCGGATGGACCCTATTTTAAGGAGTTTAGATACCTTATCCTTGATGAATGCATGCTTGACTTCGGACTGAGGCCTCTTTTTCTGCTTGACCGGATGGAACTTTAGATCCAGGCTTAGCTTGTGAGTAGTTACCTCCGGTGGAATCCCTGTCATATCGAGGTGGGACCAAGCGAAACAATTTATGTTAGCTATAAGGAATTGAATGAATTTTTTCCAAGCTAGGGACTTAACCCCGTGCCCAGGTGTACCTTACGATCAGGCAGGTGTTCGATCAATATGACTTGCTCCAGTTCTTTGACTGTTGATTTGGTGGCGTCGGAATCATAGACTATGAAAGACCTAGGAACTCTATAGTCGTCGTCCTCATTAGTCCCCTGCTTCTCCGGTTCGATCGAGGCAGGTATCGGTAATTGCTATTTGGTTTCGTCTTTAGCCACCAAAATTAGACCCTTCAATGTCAAAAGTGCGGATATCAGGATCACCTCGTCGACCGCGAACATCTCCTTTGCGGCCGGTTGTTGTCCGTAAACTATTTTAATCCCTCATGGTGTCGGAAATTTCAGCACCTGGTGGAGCGTCGAGGGTACTGCCCTCATGTTGTGAATCCAGGGTCTCCCGAACAGAGCATTGTACCTCATGTCTCCTTCGATCACGCAGAACTTCATTTCCTGAATGGTTCTGGCGGTGTTCACCGGTAATGTTATCTCCCTTTTAGTGGTCTTACATGCCATGTTGAATCCGTTTAGAACCCTGACTACAGGCATGATTCGGTCTTGTATACCTAGTTGTTCCACGACCCTCGATCTAGTGATATTGGCCGAGCTACCTGGATCAATTAACACACGCTTAACTCGAGATTTATTTATGAGTACAGATATTACCATTGCATCGTTGTCGGGCTGCACGATACCTTCAGTGTCCTCGTCGTTGAAAGACAAGGTTCCTTCTGCTACATAATCTCGAGTCCGTTTTTCTCTCGTGATGGATAATTTGGTGTGCTTTAGCATCGGCCCCTGGGGAACGTCGACCCTACCGATGATCATGTTAATGATATGCTGAGTCTCCTCCTGCTCGATCTGCTTACTAGAATCTCTATTCCTGAAATGGGTTTTGGCTCGAACGCTTAGGAACTCCTGGAGATGTCCGTTGTTGAATAACCAGGATACTTCCTCTCTCAATTATCGGCAATCTTCTGTTATGTTACCGTGAGTGCCATGATATTTACATATCAAGCTGGGATCCTTTTGGGCTGGATCGGACTGTAGAGGTCGAGGCCACTTGGTGCCTTTGATACGTCCGATGGCAGATACGATAGTAGCAACATCGACGTTGAAGTTGTACTTCGATACCCTCGGTGCTTCTTTAGGCCCAATGGGCCTGTCGAAACCGTTTTTGCTCATGAGTCCCCGGTTATTTTGACCTCAATCGCTTCTCCTTTCACTTCTCACAGGGTTTCGTCCAGACCCAATACCCCTACGATCACCGTTGTACGGTTGATACTAATCTCTACTTGACCTTGGTTCACGATCAATGTCTCTTTTGGATCTGTCACTAGCTCGGACGGGATAAACAGACCAAGAAGGGCCCCCAAGCTGATCATCTTCGACCCTAATTTTTGATTGGTATCGGTTGTGCACGTCGGCCCAAATCACAATCAGATATTCTACCAGATTTATTTTAACTGTTGCAAAGCCAATGAGCTTCGAGTATTGAGTCCTTGGGTGAAGGCCTTGACGACCTAATCGTCTGCCACCAGTGGCAGGTCCATCCATTCCATTTGAAACCATGATGCGAACTCCCTAAGTATCTCGTAATCTCTTTGCTTTACTTTGAAAAGGTCCGACTTCCTGGTCTCGACCTTGATGACTCTGGCGTGCACTTTTACAAAAGCATCTGCAAGCATAGCAAATGAGTCAATAGAATTGGGGGGTAAGTTGTGATACCATATCATATCTTCTTTTGACAAGGTCTCTCCGAACCTTTCCAGCATAACAGATTCAGTCTCATCATCTTCCAAGTCATTCCCCTTGATGGCGCACACGTACGAGGTCACATGTTCATTTGGATCAGTTGTTTCGTTGTACTTAGGAATTTCAGTCATGCAGAACTTCTTTGGGATTGTCTTCAGAGCTGCGCTCGGAGGAAAAGGTTTTTAATCAAACATTTTGGAGTCTAGGCCTTTCAGTATCGGTGGGCTCCGGGGATTTGGCCGACCCTGGAGTTGTAGGAATCCACCTTCTTGTTGTTGGCTTCGATGTTCTTTTCTCCTGTTTCCACCCGTTTTGTCAATTCCTCGAGCATCTTTATTATCTCAGGGTTGGTCCCGGGTTCAGCTTCATTTGGCCTATCTGTGGCAGGTTCATTTCTGCGAGTATTTTTCCGGGATGATTCAGGCTCAACTCTGCTGGGAGCACGTCTTTGGTTCTGCATTTGCGCTATCGCTGCCTGCTGAGCCTGCAACATTTCAAAGATCACCCGTAAGTTAATCCCATCTTCTTCACCGTCATGAGTATTTTGGGCTACCGATCGGTCTCCCTCGTGGATGCTGTTCTCAGGATCTGTAGGCAAATTCGTCTTAATGACCACATGTAAGTTGACATCGATCGGGTCCGCGACCGGAATTCCATTGGGATCGGTAGGGGGCACCTCGTTACCGGGCATCGTATTGTTGTTCTCGCCATGGTGGCCAGACTCAGCATCCGTGTTTAGAGGGGCAGATTGGGAGTTCGACATTTTAAACTTTGACCTGAAATCAGAGACACTTCAACGAACAAGTGTGAAGTAGGGTGTGTTATGAAAATTTGTATCAAATTGCCACTATTATCCTTAGCCCCACGGTAGGCGCCAAACTGTTTACCCTCGAAATCGGATAACAATTAAATTTGTAAGTGGTTTTAAGGATATGCTGATTAATTTGATACAAAACGATAAATTGAGTTAGAATGGATAAGTAAAGATATAGTAAATTCAAACCACGCGAGGAAGATGATTCCAGCCTTAGTGACTTTTTCACCCTCGATCCGGGCTCACAGTGAACAATATCGATGAACGAGAGAAAGAGCTTACAATAGCAGTAAAAATAATAGTATATTGCTTTGGAATGCGTATTACAATGTGTCTAATGAATTATCAGACCCCCCTTTATATAGTGTGGGAATCCTACTCTAAGTATAACTCCATAAAAGATAAAAAATCTTCTGTTTAACTGATTGTCGGTTCTTCATCGATACGTGCCGAGATTCACGCCGTAATATCCGACTGGTCGCGGATATTACGGCATTCTATTGGTCGTGCTCGATTGCCCGACAATGTTCTCCGAAGTCTTTCAGGATTTGGATCGATCTCGAATCATGACCCCGATATTCTCGAGGNTACTCCATTGAGATTGAGAAAACGTATGCACCGAAATACAACATTGTTCTTATCCACGTAAAATTTTATAAGTACTTGACTGTTTCCGATAGTGCAACAAGTTTTCTTTTATTTGCCTTTTGTTTTTTTCCCTCGTATTCCAAGCTTCAATTACATAATTATTTAAATAAGTTTGTCAGAATTTGTGCGAGTTACATGTTGAGATGAAATGCCGGCCAGCTTAATTTGGATGTTGCGTATTTTTGTGTGAACAATGTGTTGGCAACCAAGTAATAGTAAAATATTTTCAATCTTAATTAGATAATATACGTTTCTGATCTCTGTCCTTTAAAGATTCTCTCTACATTTCATTTGTTCGGATTTATTCTAATGTCAATGCTAACTCTTGAGCACTTGCCTCCAAGTTTTAAGTAAAACTATACTATGTAAAAGACTTTGTTACTTTCCACAAGGAGCCGACTAGTAATAAAAGTTAAACTCTGTCATTGGATGCTTAGAACTGTAAATATCTTTTTCGCTAAGAAAAGAAACTACAAAACATAATACTTAACTAATAGTTTCTACTCCTTTTTTGTGGTTTCCTTTTGGGTTAAGAAATTTGGCTTATGCTTCACAGTTAACTACCAATTGATTAAGATTTAAGTCGTTAGAGTTTCCAATAGGAGATAATTTCTAGTAATTCTACGGCAGCTTGAACAAGAAACAGCTACTTCCAATGAAACATTTTTTAAGGTAAATGAGAAGGAATTACATACTCTAACAGTTTTAAAAGATTTATACTATCATTGTACTTTAACTTGTAATAACAGGGTCGCGTTACTATTATGAGAAGATTACTAATCAATTTTTATCATAAAAATTTATATATAAATTTTCTTATAAATAATCTAATTGTATAAATATTTTTTATATTTTCCGTGCATAAAACTTAAAGTAAGAGCTAGCTTAACTGTTTCGGCCATATGGTAGGTGCCATACCTTTGACAAACAATCCTTATCTAAAACTCTAGAAAAAATAAAATAAGATGCTATTTTAAAACCAAAAAAGAAAGAAACTAAAGAGAGAAGAATCGTCAGCTCTACATTCACTTATATATATGCATCAACAAACTCCTCATGAAATAGAAATACATTTCATAAGCACTTGAACAAAGTAATGGAGCTCAACCATTTCCTCTTATTCATCTTTTTCATTCTCTCTTTTCGACTATGTAGAGGTAATACATATATACACATTACTTAGTAATTCTTTCTTCTAAACTCTCTCTCTCTCTATATATATATATATATATATATATATATATATATATATATATATATATATATATATANCAAGATTTTTAGTTTATGGATTATGATTCACTCTTTTTAATTTGCTTATTAAGTTCAATAGATTATTTATACATACTAAATAAATTCATAATTCAATTACAGGATTTGAACCAATACGAAGGGGTTCTAGCGAACCTATGACTATAACGGTGGCTCCGCTTGAAAGTGCAGGATGGGGTGAGTTGCACTTATTCAATTTAGGGTGTGTTTGGTATGAAGGAAAAGAGTTTTTTTGAAAATAAGTAATTTTCTTACTTATTTTTCAGTGTTTAGCTAGATAGTAGAAAATATTTCTAAGAATATATATAATTTAGGCTAGGAGACGAAATATGTAAGGGTTGGGAAGGGTGGTAGGTCGGGGTCTAGAGGCAGGTGGGGGTAGGGGAAGAGCGGGGTTGGGTTGGGTTGGGTTGGGTTGGGTTGGGGAATAGGGTGAGAAAAGTTGGAAATTTTTTTTGGAAATTATTTTCCCTCCTTTTGGCAGGGAAATCATTTCCCTTTTGATCGGAGAAAAATGAGTTAATGAGTAAAATATTTTCCAAAAGAATTAAACCAATCAAACATGGAAAAAATTGAAAAACATTACCAAACACATCCTTAAAGTGTTTTAATAATCTTTTCTCAAAATTATCATATCTCAGTCTAATTTTTTCGCACTTCAATTTTGACATATTTAATTTTTTTCTGAGGCTAACATATTGCATATCTGTCCTTCAATATTTTCACAGCTGGAAATTCAAAACTCTTTCGAGAATATATAGGTGCAGAATCAACCTCAGTGAAGCTAACTGACGTACCAATAAACTCCAACGTCGAGTTCCATTTCATATTAGCATTTGCCATTGACTATGATTATGACAACTCAAAACCTTCACCTACAAATGGAAAATTCAACATTTTTTGGGAAAACAATCACCTTAACCCTAAAGAAATTGCCTCAATAAAATCTCGTCACACAAATGTAAAAATAGCTGTCAGTTTGGGAGGTGACACAGTTGGTAACAACAAGCAAGTTTATTTTAAACCTAAGTCCATTAATTCTTGGGTCGATAACGCGGTCTCTTCGTTATCGTCTATGATCGAAGAGTACAACATCGATGGAATCGACATTGATTACGAACATTTTTCAGACACGGACACTAATATATTTGCAGAATGTATAGGACAACTCGTGACAAAGCTAAAGAAAAATGGAAAAATACAATTTGCTTCAATTGCTCCGTTTGAAGATAGTGTTGTCCAAAGTCATTATATGACTTTATGGAAAAAATATGAGCAAGTTATTGACTATGTTAATTTCCAATTTTATGCGTATAACAAGATTGATGTGTCGAAATTTGTAAGGAATTTTAATGAACAAGCTTCGAATTATAAAGGAGGTCAGATTTTGGCTAGTTTTGTAAATAAAGGTGGTGGCTTGGGACCTAAAGATGGATTTTTTGAAGCTTGTAAAGAATTGAAAGGACAAGGGAAACTTGGTGGGATATTTGTATGGTGTGCAGATGAATCAACAAAAACTGGGTTCAAGTATGAGAAAATGTCTCAGAATTTATTAGCCTCTTCTTGATCAAGATTTGTGAACGAGTTGAATAAGAATGTCTATAAGATCAAATTGTTCAGGTTGAAAATTTTCTTTTTTAACTTTTATTCAACAAAGTGTGAAGAAAAAAAATGCAATCGACATTATTTGGTCATTTATAATGGTTAAGTTTTCCAGTGTTTTATCTTGATAAGTCAGGTAGTTCAAAGTGTACATATGATTATCTGAATATATAAAAGATTAGAGCAATTTTGCTTATTGCCAGAGGTCAGTACTTTGTACAAATCAATTATATGCATAGAAAGGAGGAGGAGGAGGAGGAGGAGGAGGAAGAGGAGGAGGAGGAGACAGTAGCAAAGTGATTAAAATTTCAATGCATTAAAAATTGAGGCTATATTCTAAATAGCACTATTAAAAGTGGCTACTTGATATAATTTCTATAATAGTATTCCGAATAATTAATGCAAATTCGTGTAAATATTTATAATTGAGCACGAAACTTGTATGATCCATAAAAATTCTATGAATATGGTTTCTCCCAAAAAAGAAAGAAAGAAACGTCTTGGTCGACAGTTGGAGCTATGAATATACATAAGCTTTTCCAAAGGAGACTTACATGTACCATATGACCATCATTTCCTATTTTACTTATAATAAGTACTCCTACTAAAATATACTTCATTAAACGAGTGTATGATGTTAAGTGCCTAGAAATCAATGAATGTATCTTATAATAGTAATATCGAGAATCAAACAAGACTCTCTCAAAGTGGAGAGATTGTCGATTCACAGGAGGTGACAACAAGGGGCGAGGTCGAGTGCTGTTAGTAGAGCTGTAACGGCTAGTTTTCGAGATAGGACATTAAAGAGAATATTTTAATGGATATTCTCTGCACTTGTACTATTATGGTTCTTAGGAACATGTCCCATATAAATAGAAAAAAAGACAATGATAGGGGCATGTAATATTCATTTATAAAGAACACACTTTGACTAAAAGATTCGTCTCTCTCTTGCTAAGATACAAACACCACATTTTCACTGAGATTCTTGTCTATACTTTTCCATCAAATCCGAGAGTAACTCGAATATTCAAGGATTTGTCTATCATTCATCATTGTCAAGGGGAACATCCCCCGATTCCATCCTTTATTGGATGAATCATTCCTCCTATTTACTTAAATGTCATTTATTACTATTGAATGCTATATTATTGTTCCTGATTTCTAGAATATTTATTGCATATTATTGCTTCCGTCCTACCAGACCCACACGACATTTATTATTTTTTTAACAACCATATCTAAGGATATTATTGTTATCTAAGATTAACCCTTATTCACATAAATTTAATTATTTGAACCAAGATCTATATTTTTTGGTCAAACAATTTGGCGTCGTCTGTTGGGATTTCTTAGTTTAAACTTTTAGTTTCCTCTAGATCTACAACTAGCACATGTCACTAACGTAAAATAAAATAAAATCAAGACCTCCTTTCTTTGTATACAAAAAATCCTACACGGCAGATAACCGAGAAGAAAGGACGAGAATAACGAGTGACCTCCCAACCAACCTCATGAATGTCATCAACGAAAGCTGCGAAAGGGAAGGTGAAGACACGACGCCCAGCGCGCGCCCCGACGAGATGGGTCACCGCCCCCCACTGCAGCATAACAAAACCTCGTGGTAAAGGAGCCTCCACGTCGGCAGAGGAAGGAACACCCCCAGCTGTAAAAAAACTCCTCGAGGCATGGGTAACGGACACACTAACAAGCGTCCTCAACAAGCTCGCTCCAGGAACGACTGCAAAAACTGCAAGGACTTGCACGATACAACAAACAGACGAGCAGTGCAACCAACCCCTACCTCCAACGGCAGGTATAACTCACAATGTCATTTATAGTGCAGGTGAAATGACCTAGCCACCATTCTAGAAAGAATGGAAGAAATGAAAAATAAAAATAAGGCGCTCCGAGACCAGGTAAAAGAGCATCAAGAACTGGTCGATAAGATACCAAGCACTCCTAAGTTGCTGCCGAAAAGGGGCGCCAGCCAGTTCGTCAAGCATTCGTACAGTGACGATGCAGTCACAGCCTTTCAGAACGAGATGAGTAGAGATGGTTCGAGAGAAACCATAAAATTATTGAGTCGGCTGATGAAGTATCCCCCAACCACTTGGGACGAAATCCACAATGCCTATTGCGCTGAGGTCCGTGTAGATGAGGAGGATCTCAACGGGCCAACTCACCGACTAACCTCAGTGCAAGATGAATCTAGAAAAGATCGAAGAGACATCGGCAGAAGAGGTCATCCAATTCCGTGACCTAACAGGGAACGACGTCAATCGTATATCAGGATGGCCGCTGCGCCTCCCTCCCGTCACGAAGAAGGCCTATCCAGGACAAGGACGAGAACTCATTGGAACGAAAGAGGTATGCTTCCCTTATTATCTACTCACAATTTTTGTGTGTCACCTACAAAGATAGTCTACTCCCTGGAGAAGCTCGGACCGAAAGTGAAGTAGCCGCCGAAAATGAGATCGTACCCAAACACCAAGAAGTCTGACGCCCACTGTGAGTTCCACCAGGAAGGAGGGGACAAAACTGAAGATTGTATCGCCCTCAGGCAAGAAGTCGTAAACATGTTGCGACAAGGGCACCTCAAAGAGCTGCTAAGCGACAGGGGAAGGACCAATTTCGCTAGAGGACACAAACACCAAGCGGCAATGATGCCTCTATCAACAGCGTGAAGTTAACCACTACCCACAGACTCAAGTGATCTATCACCCGCGAACGGTATGATAAACTCGAAGAAAGTATCATCTTTGACAAGTTGGATGATGATGGTTTGACTTTTCCTTATAGTGACGCCCTCGTTATTACTTTATGAATTTTAGATACCAATGTCAAACCCATTATGGTAAATGACGGGAGCGAAGCGTGCATTGTCCATCCCCGAGTACCTGCCCAAATGAGACTCGAAGATAAGATAGTGTCGCGCTGCATCACGCTAACTGGTTTTAACAATGCAGTTGAACGAACATCCAGGGAAATTACACTCCCCGTTTTGGCTGGCGGCGTAACTATGGAGACAACGATCCATATCATGGACCAGGCCACTGCGTACAACGCCATAGTAGTACGACCATGGATACATCCCATGAAAGCCGCCCACTCTAGCTTATACCAAGTAATTAAATTCCCAACTCCATGGGGTATTTTCAGCATACGCAGAGAACAACGCACATCACAGGAATGCTACCGCATCGCCTTAGATAGCACGGCCACCCAACAGAGAAAAGACAAAGGAAAAGAGGACGAAGTAAGAGGAGACATAGGACGTCATCAAGGATGCTGACATGGTCGAAGCCGCTGGGTTGACCCTAGAAGACCTCGACCCAATTTAATTGGATCTCAACGACCACAAAAAGAAGACCTATATTGGCTGCAAGCTTCGGGAACCAGGTAAATTCAGTCAATTCTTAACAGCTAACGTAGGTTTGTTTGCTTTCAGCTATGCAGATATGCCGAGCATCCCAAAGGAAATTGCCATGCACAAATTAAACGTCGACCCATTCCACCCCTCAGTGAGATAGGTTAGACGTAAATTCAACTCTATAATTAATGACGTCGTGTGCGATGAGGTGGAAACACTGCTAGAAAATGGTTCCATCAGGGAATCGAAGTACCCAAGTAGGCCGCCAACGTAGTGATGGTCAAAACGAAGAATGGAAAATGGCAGATGTGCGTAGATTTCACAGATTTCAACAAAGCATGCCCGAAGGATTAGTTCCTGTTGCCTCATATTAACCAACTCATCGACGCAACAGCCAGGCATGAGCTATTAAGTTTCTTGGATGCTTACTGAGGCTATAATCAGATCCTCATGGAAGAAGAAGATCAGGAAAAAACCACGTTCATCACCCTCCAAGGAACATATTGCTACAGGGTCATGCCTTTTGGACTAAAGAACGTGGGAGCTACTTATCAAAAGTTGGTGACAAAGATGTTCAAAGATCAGCTCGGCAAAACAATGGAGGTATATATAGACGACATGCTAGTCAAGTCCAAAAGGGGAGGAGATCACATCGATCATTTGAAAGAAATTTTCAACATACTCAGATGGTACGGAATGAAGCTGAACTCAGAGAAATGCGAGTTCGGTGTAGCCTCAGGAAAGTTCTTGGGTTTTCTGGTATCAAAACAAGGTATCGAGGTCAACCCAGACCAAATCAAAGCCATTGAAGGGATACCGGAACTCTTGACCACCAAAACACAAGTCCAAAGGTTGACTGGTCGCATCGCCGCCCTATCAAGGTTCATCTCGCGGGCGTTGGATAGGTGCCATAAATTCTTTGGCGTACTCAAGAAAGACAACGGCCTCGAATGGACTTTCTAGTGCATCCAGGATCTGCGAGAACTAAAAGCATACATGTCATCTCCGCTTTTGCTTTCAAAACCCAAGACGCGGGAGCATCTCCTCATCTATCTGGCCGTATCCGAGGTAGCTGTAAGCGCAATCTTAATTCGAGAAAACAAAGGTACATAATCTCCCATCTATTACATTAGCAAAACACTCATCGATACCTAGACGAGGTACCCACACCTCGAAAAGTTGGCAGTGGCCTTAGTCGTAGCTTCACGACAGCTTAGACAATATTTCCAATGTCACCCCATCTCGGTCGTCACGACCTTACCCCTTAGAAGCATTTTACATAAACCCGAACTATCGAGAAGGCTGGACAAATAGGCCATCGAGCTGAGTAAACACAATATCACGTATCAGCCACGAATGGCGATAAAGTCACAAGTGCTCGCTGACTTCGCAGCCGACTTCAGCACAAAAATAATGCCTGAAGTCAAAAGGGAAGCCGTCCAAACCTTCTTCCGAACACAAGACCTCTAGGTCCTATACACCGATGGCGCATCCAATGCATCGAGGTTTAGACTAGGACTCGTACTCGAAGTCCGAATAGGTGAAGTGATTCGCCAGTCCATAAGTTGCCCAGATATGACTAACAATGAGGC